AAAAGCTGCATTATTTCATTACGTCTCTCTTTTCTTGTGAAATAGACCACCACGTCTCTTGGCAAATTTCTCTGACGGGCAGATGATTGATTTCTAACCAAGTTCTAATTAATAGGTAGATGACATTGTTATTTTTAGTGATTTAGTGATTTTTATCTATGTTGATAGTTAGGATTTTCTGAGATTTTATTATTCGTGTTTATTTAATAGATGAATTTATTTGTTTATTAACTGTTTGTAATATGGCCATAGTTAAGCTTATTTTAAGATATTCACTTGATCCGGACAGTTGCTTGTTTGTTAAAATATGTGATTGTACCTTTCCTTATTTTATCCTAAATCCCCCATTTTCTTCCCCCCTCCCTTACCATACCCATATTGTTCCTAATTTTCCCTTATCTATATAACCTCAATAAAATATTGTTTTAAAAAAAATAAATAAATACATGCCAGTTGTCAAGTATCCAAATTTTGATCACATGACCATGGAGATGATGCAATGGTTGTAAGTGTGAAAAATGGTAATAAGTCACTTTTTCAGTGCAATTGTAACTTCAAACAGTCACTAAATGAATGGTTGTAACTGGAGGACTACCTGTAGATGGTGTTTTTGGAAATAAAGGTCATATTTCAAAAATATCTAGTTTTGATAACGTTGCAGAATTTGTGTCATTTGTTTTTCAACTTTTCAACATTATTATGGTTGGTTGTACAGTCAGCCAGGTGTTTAGACTGAATTTGGCCCTTTTATCCACTTATCGAGTCCTTCCCAAGGTCCTGGAATAGACAGAGATTGTTGTTTAATAGTGTTAAAAGTATCTTAGCAGGATGTAACCTTTTACATGTAAAATTGCCTTTTTCAATTGACCAATGGTGATTTTGTCAATCCTGATGGTATTCAAATAGTGCTTCTGATGTTTTGGGATTGCATCCAAGGCTCCTATTACTATTGGTGCTGTCTGTGCTTTCTTTTGCCACAGTCATTCTATTTCTATATGCAGATCTTTGTGTTTTGTGTTTTATAAGAGCTCTGGTGGCGCAGTGGTTAGAATGCAGTATTGCAGGCTAACTCTGCCCACTGCCGATCCCGAGTTTGATCCTGACTGCCTCAAGGTTGACTCAGCATTCCATCCTTCCACCAGGTCGTTAAAATGAGGACCGAGATTGTTGGGGGCGATATATGACTCTGTAAACTGCTTAGACAGTGCTGTAAAGTGCTATGAAGTGGTATATATGTGCTAAGTGCTAAATGCTATTTTGTGATTTTCTCCAATTCTTTCTCTTCTATTCTGCTGTCTTCAGATTCTGTTGCATCTAGTATTCAGACTTTTTGTCTTTCTTATCAATAATTCTTAAGTTTGTAGTGTTATGTGGCAGGTGTTTGTGTATTCTAAAGCCTCAGAGCACTTTAGCTTCTTCATTTTCTATTACTTTGTCTATTTTTGTGATCCTACCAGTTCTTGCTTGCAGGCAAATAGTATTTCTTGCAAACATTCCAATGCATCATTGTTGCTACTTTGTCAAGCTGTGTTTTGTTGTCAGTCTGTGTGATCTTCTTGCAGAAGCTAACTACGTTGTCCATTATTTCTTCACCTTCTTTGCAGAGGCAGCATTTGCTGCCTGTTGCTGTCTTTTCAATTTTGGCTTTGTATGCATTTGTGCTTGAGGCTTGACCTTGTGCAGAACTAGGCCTTCTGTTTCATTTCTCAAGTTTCCTGCTTTTATCCATAGTTAGGTCTTGTTAAAATCTGCTTTTCCTGTTAGTTTTTTTTAAAACTACTGGCCACGTAAAATCTCTTTTCTGTTCTTATTATTGTCATTAATATACAATGCATGCAAACTACAGTACATCAATACATATATTCCCATGTATTCTGTTATCTTAATAGTATTATCTATTGAGCAGAATTTTAAATAAATATTATGAATAACTTAAGAGTGCTTTAAGAAGAACGGA